TGTGCCCCCCCAGCCTGCTCGCTGGTGGGGTGGGGTGAGAGGCAGAATAGGCCTTGACTCTGTGTCAGCCCTGCTCAGCAATAACTGAAACACCCCTGTGTTATCAACACTGTTTCCAGCACAAATCCAAACCACAGCCCCACACTAGCTACTGGGAAGGAAATTAACTCTACCCCAGCCAAAACCAGCACCAAAGCCAAATAACGTATTCTGAAATTAAACTACTAAGTAATTTATTTTTATATTTTGTAACTGTATGATTGCAGAGTGAATGAAGTGTTCCTCTGACATAATTTGCCCTTTTGAGAGGCTGTGCAATTTTGTGAGGCTGTTTATGGCGAGTTGGATTTGAGAGAATAATATAGCTAGATAGATATCTACATATAAATAACATGCCTGTTACATTTAAAAACAATATTTGAGAAGTGTCAAAAGAGCCCACTTAGTGTATTTGTAAATGGTGGTTTTCTTATCTTTGATAACTATATAGGTATTAGTCACACTAGTTTACCTGTAAACACTGTTTAAAAATGTTTATTCTTATGTATGCAAGAGTATACAGATAAACTTATCTCAATTTGAGAATACTGCAGGCTTTAATAAAAACGAGTGTTGATCTAAAACCTGACTATTTTAAAAATTGAAAATAAATGTAAGTCTTAATGTGCTTAATATTAAAATAATAATACCTTGTTTTTTGACAGAAAATGTGGATAATTATCATTGTGTCATTGGTGTTGATTGCCATAATTGGTCTAATTATTGGTTTGTCTGTTGGTGTTCCGTGATGCTTGGATAACCTCAGCATGCATGGCTTCCTGCCAGTGTGGCAGTAAGTAACTAATCAACTAATTTTGCTCTTGTTTTGCTCGGGTAACTTGTATTGTTCTTCTAACCCTTAATATCTGTACGGTTAGTACTGGGGAGGTAGGCTTGGGATGCATTGGTGGATCTTCTCTATCTCTGCTTACTATGAAAGTGCTATGCATGTGAATGTTGAAAACTGACATCTAGTGGTAGGCTGCTAAATTTACAGAATGCAATCGCCACATAAGACTCGTAAACACAGAAGGAAATGAGACCAAAAAATCCAATTATTGTCTTGCAGTCCTTTGAAATTTTCTTTATACTGAAAGTTCACATCAGTAAACACAATTATTGTCTTGCAGTCCTTTGAAATTTATACTGAAAGTTCACATCAGTAAACGATCTGCACTAAGATATGGAACACTAGTTACACTTGGAACTTCATCAAATGGGGTTTTCTATGGTTTTAAGTAGAGCTTTCATAAAAGTAGATGTCTACAACCATGAAGGTGGCTATTATGCCTTGCGGAACATCCTAAAATTTCTTATTTCGAAGCTGTTTATTAATACTAGACTAAATGAAACAGTGGGAAATAACAATGTATTTGTAAAAGGAAGTCTGCAAAGATTCCAACTGGAACTTTAGGACATAAATCGGAGAATTCTCTCAATCTTCAGAATTTTGCTGTACTAATCTACCATTTCTTGTCAAGATAACACCTAGCCAGGCTAAGTAGAAAATGGCAGTTAACTCTTCCGAGTCCGGTAGAAACTCAGCTTTTCACATGTACTATCTTCAGACTACATATGAAGTGCTACGAGCGGGACGTCATGTCAGACAGCTAATCAGGAATTCAGTTTTCTGTACTAACACTCATTTAATATCGAAGTTTTTAGTTTTGATGTTACAGTTTCTTCTCAGCTTTGGTTTATGGGCAGATAACAGGATTCACTGTATCATTGCTTATAGTCACAAATACCTGACCTAATGCCAGGTATGACTTGGGATGCATTTACATAGAACCCATCTCTCCCCCCCACCCACCTTGCAGCTCTTCTGAGCTATTACCTACAGAATGTTTTTACTGATGTTTTATTGGATTCCACTAAGTGTGCAATTGTAAAGGTTTCAGCAGGCTACAAATATTTATCCAAGGAGGGTGGCAGTAAGCAATGTTACTGCATTTAGACTTAACCTCAAGTAAATGTTCACTATTGCATCTGTTTCTATACGTAATGATATTTACAGAAGTTGGGTATGAGCAATAACAATTATTCTGTGAAACAAAATACAGCAATGTTACACAGATAGCCCTATCTTGTAACTATGGTTACGTGTATGTTAGAAAAGAAAGACTAACAACAGGAAATCATAGCAGTAAGTATTCTTTAGAAAGAAAATCCAAACACTCGGATTAGGTATCAGTATTACTAATGTTCTGTGGCTATGCATGTATTTAAACAGTTCTGTATCTGACACGGTATTTCAATCTCAACTTTTCTCTCTTTTTTGCAGAAATTGGTGTTCATAATTATATGTGTAACTGTATTGCTTCTGATACTTGGAATTATCCTAGCAACAACACTATCATAGCAAGCACATTCCAAGAGTTACGAACCTTCAGAAACTCCAAAATACATCTTCAGTAAAACCAAACCTTTTTTTAACAAATGATGCCTTACGCTGTTCCATGATGATGACCTATCACTAATGGTTAAAAATGAAAACAAAATAGCTCTTAATGTTTACTCATAAATGAAGATGAGAATGTATTAGGATACGTATGGCTCTTCATCATAAACTATACATTTGTAAGACTGAAACTTGCTCTTAATTGTTTTGAACTAAAGTAACTTAGGACTTTTTTCATATCTCAGTGTTACAAACAGTTTAAATAGGGAGTTGAGAGACTATTGAGTTTTGACTATTTGGCTTTTTTCCTATCGCTAATACAATTCTAATCATGAACTTTACCTTACCAGTGCTGCTTTTGTTAGCGCTCTTGTGAACGTTTTTGTGAGATGTAGCCTTGTCTCTGTGTGTTAATTATTTAGTCACTTTAACCTATCTCAGATTTATACCTAAAAATCTTTTCTCCAACAAGTGCTAAAATACTTTATCCTGAAAAGGCTACTTATTTAACTGTCTGCCTATTGCATTACACTTGAGAAGAAAAAAAAAAAAGGCTTTTCCACTTTCCAGGGTTTTTATTTTTTTCTTTCAATGTGACTAAGGTTAATTGCTTTTAAATATTTCTTTGCCTTTATAATAAAAAGTTAGTTGCAACGTTTCTGGTAAAAGAATACAGTAACAAAGCACACCAAATTTGAACTTGAGGAGATAATTTTACAAATAATCCTTGTGCAAAGGAAACTGATGGATCAGTTTAGCCTTATTGTTCATACGAATATGACAAAAATCACACTTTTTCTCTATAAAGCCGAGTCAACATTTCTTACTCGGAAGCTTGCTAATGTGTGAATATAGCACATACGGATAAACTCCTTCAGAAAAGTCTGAAACATAATACAAACTAAGACACTGATTTGTTACGAAATTTATGTGTTCTATAACATATATGAAGTGTTTTAGTGTATACATACCTATTGTAATGCTAGCTTGCAAGACTTGAAAGCTTGAAAGACTTCAAATGTAACCAAATAACTGCATTTAATGTTACAGGTTATTTTTGTATTTTGTGTGTAAAATATTTGTAACTTGAATTTTTGACTTCTGGTTGTTTAAGGATATCCATGTAGATATGTAGATATATTTACACTGTAAGACAATTAGAGGAAAGTATAATGTGTGCCTTTTTAAACACAGTCTAAAACTACACTTGTCAGTGTTTCCAAATACTGAACTATGATGTTAACTGCAATAACTCGCTCCTAAAAGGTTAGAATCCTTAAACTTACGTTTTGTTGAGACTTCTGGTTGTTTAAGGATATCCATGTAGATATGTAGATATATTTACACTGTAAGACAATTAGAGGAAAGTATAATGTGTGCCTTTTTAAACACAGTCTAAAACTACACTTGTCAGTGTTTCCAAATACTGAACTATGATGTTAACTGCAATAACTCGCTCCTAAAAGGTTAGAATCCTTAAACTTACATTTTGATGGAAGTGTCTGATCTCAGAGTGACTCAGTAAACTATAATTCAGTCTGACTTAATGAAATTCAGCAAAGTTTACAATTTGTGTTGTATGTATGAATATTCCTACTTTGCTGCCCAAATATACTGTGAATGTGCTGGAGCTATTCAGATGTCAAACATGTTTAAAAAAGAAAAAAATATTACTATTGGCCTTGTTGCAAGTCGGCCATAAAGAAGTCGCTTGAAAAATTTCAGCTTCATTAGTGAACAAATTTCTTTACCTCTACGTCCAGAACGCTCACCGATGTTTGTGAGGAAGTTTACATGCAAAGTAAGGAAAGATTGGTTGCCTTAGTACTCGTTCTAGGTAAAATATATTTTTATTCTATAGTTTTCTAGATTTTTATCAGTAAATATTATTTATACAGATACACAAATTAGATTGGGGGGAAAAAAAACAGTTCTGCTGTTTAACAGCTGGTTACCTAAAATGAGCCCCCAAATCCCGTCATGTTGAATTTTTTTATTTATAATGCAATAATTTGCCCATCAAGACCAGAAATTTGAATAGGCCACTCCATACTTTTTACTTGTTGTATAGCTGCCTCAATGAGTTTGTTTTAAAACAAAACAAAACTTGTTTTTCACGTGAACCTCTTTGTTCTCTTAATATTGGAGGGGAGTAAATCTCTAACCTATGCACTAATAAATTTATCTAAGCAAGTATCCTGTGGCTGGTTTCATATCCATGATGTTATTGTGACCTTTGTGAATATTTCCAGTCAGTGTTGGAATAAGGCTGGTCTGTTTTTGCAATGACGAATGTCAAACAACCGACACCTAGGTCTTAAAGTAAAGGTAGTGTATTTCCTGAAACTTTTTACCAAAGAAGGTGTAGAGATGATCAGAGTAGGTGTAGAGATAATTATGAAGACATTAATGGGATTTATTAATTTAAACTGTTCCCGTGGAATGTTGCTTTAATATTAAACTTGAAAAATGTGGGAATTACTTACTTGAATAAAGCTATTCATGTATTCTCCAACTCCTCATAAAAGTGCATCTTTCATGGTGCAGAATTAAAATAACTTCCTGTTACCTGCCTACCCCAGAACTGGGAATTCTGGAATAGATTCAGGGTTCTGATGTAGAGGTGGTAACTGGAGCCATTCCCCCTGTGCTGATGTTTAAACTTAGTTGAGATTGCCGCTCTGACAGGTTTTTGCGGGCGCGGCAGTGAGCGGTGTTACCCGAGCGGCGATGCTGTGCCTGTCTTCTCCTGGTAACCTCGCTCCTTTCTGTGTCCTGCCTCTCGCCTGCCTGCTGATCTCCAGCAGCGGTGGTGAAGAGGAGCGAGCAGCCTGCTCGGGGCTGACAGCCGGGGCGGCTGCCAGGGGTGGGAGGTGGGGAGGAACAGCTGCCACCCGCACTGGGCTGCGCGGGGACTGGTGCTCGTCTCCTTCTGGTGCCTCTTTCCCCTCATCTTCCTCCCCCCCTGTATCACATGCTGAGGTTCGTGAGCCTTTCAGGTGGTCGGTGCTCCAGCAAATGCAATAGAAGTGTTGGCATGGTACTGTATAAGGGGAAAGGTTGGTTGTGCTGCTCTTGTGTGGGGGCTTTTTTTGGAGGAATTTTGAGGAAAGAATGCCCAAGGCTTCATTTGCTTTCATTCGAGTCAGCGCTATCTTCGTACAGAAATAAATTGTCATTACAACTTTTGTAACAGTCTAACACCAATGAGGATACGCATGCAGAGCTAATACCAAAGCACTTAGAAGTTGGGAATTGGCCAACTTAGGACTGACTGTAAGATAATTGAGCAGTTATGCTTGGTTCAGTATTTCTTTGTGGTATTGGGAAAACTGGATAGGAGTGGGAATGTTGAACTTGGCAATTAATAAGGCAAACTTGTCCATAAAGGCGAACCAAGAGAGTAAAATCTTAGCGTAGGGAAAACGTTAAATGGCTGTTCTTACAAAGGTCTGTACAACCAGAATGCTCGGGTTATTTCTAAGCGCGGGTGGCTCTGCCGCTGCTCACAGCGGTGCCGTGCCACCTGTGGGAGAAGCACCAAATCTGAACATCAGTGAATTCAATAGAATGAACTGAAGCTCTTCCAGAAATTAATCTGTCTTTATTCTGCTTCTTTGCTCTGTAGTGTAAAACACAGAACAGACATTTCTAGGCGGCGCAGGATTTGTTTAGCATAGCACTACGTGAGTTTTGATGAATACAAGCCTGATAAATAAAATTTAAAAGACAATGGGAAATGGGGGAACTGCTGCCTGTGAGGAAGGATGTTTTTCTGTATAAAAATGATGATATTTTAAAAAAAACCTTTTTGGACAGTTGAGCTTAGTGTAGTTCTGAGAGAACAGTTTGGATGTGGAATGTTTGGGGTTTTTTGAGGAGAGAATGGGGGGGGTTAATGACTTAGGTTACCTAATGTTAAATTTGATTTGATGCGTTCATGTGGCTTGCATGCAACTTCTGAAAATAACCATGGCATTCTTCCTCAGGCTGCAGTCAGTGGGTCAGCCTCTGCACCTGTGAATCCGCTCAGTCTTTTCTGTCACGTACAGTAATGGGCTGCTCAGCTACGTCGTGCCATTTGCAGCCTCTTCTAGCTACCTCTGTCAAACGTGCCAAGTCTCTCTGCCGGTCGTGAAGCGCTTCGAATCGGCGTTTTGGAATAAAAAGAGCATTTTGTAAGCACTTGTAACTAGGTTCTGAAGAGCGAAAGTACTTCCGGAATAAAGGTTTTTACGAAGGGAAATACGTAGAAATGGTAAGTAATTACAAAATAATCACGTTTATGTATTGTAAAGAATGATTGCTTTTACTGGCTGCATCAGAATCCATTTTACTGCAAATAGGGGCAAAGGAGGATTTTTATGTTCAAGAGTAAATAGTGCTTAGAAAATGGCTAAGTTATGATACAAATAGCTAACAACATATAGCAGACTTTGTGGGTCGGGAAGAAAACAAGAATTATTTTGCATACAAAATTACATTTCCTATATCCATACTTTAGAGAGAACGTGAGACTGCTGGGTCAGCCCGTGCCAGTTACTGTCAACATTAACAGAGAGCGCAGCTCGGCTTCGAGAATATGTCCGAATGAATATGGACTCGGCAGAGGTGCCGTTTATACATAAACAGCTCACTTTACAGTCCTTTTATGTAATCTTACAGAAAATGGAGAGGCAACTTCAATACCTATTTGACGAGGTTAGTTGGTAGTGTTGCACAGAACTGTTAACTTTCTGTAGTTAACAAGGTTTTTGCTTTTTGAGTCTGCCATCGTATAATCTTCATCAGCGTTTCTAACATTGGGTCAGTCTGATAAGGGAATTATATCTCAAATTTCTGAAGTGAGATGTGGAGGGTTATAGATGAGAAGGCATACAAGAATGAATGTGTGTATAATAAAATTGACAGCTGCTTGTAAAGAAATCTTTGGCTCTTTTTTAAGCTTCCTCCTTTCCCGAGTTGTGACATGAGCTTACGGTGAACATCTATATATCATAGAATCAGAGGATTACTC